GTTCAGAGTGAGGCTTCAAGTTGAAGTATTTACTGAAGGATTTACTGAAACACTAAAACATTCACAGTAAAGCACATTACAGGCTTCAAATGTCAGAGTTTAAACTAGAGCTGCCATCAGTGTTTTACCCAATGTGGGAAAGGTAATGTTCACCACCGTTAGCTTGGTATTTGTCTTTACTTTACACTCTCCAAGCTGGGACTGACTTCTTTGGCACTGACAGTATAACATGTTATTAACACTATTTATAATGCATTATATTAACAATTCATAATGTATAATAAACATGGCTATAAAGTGTAATTCAGTGTATTTTTTTATAAATATGTATAACCATGTTTATAGTGCCTTATGAATACATTATAACATGTTATAAATGTGTTTATAGATGCTTACAAAGGTAACATTCATAGAAAGTGTTACCGAACTTCTTCTTAAGAAGAGTTGGTGAATGAGGCCCAGTATGTTCAAATCTACATACACATTTCTAATCATATTGCATCAGTCGGAGTTCCGTGAGGGCCACTCCAGAAGCTTCAGCTTGCATTTTCTGAAGGAGTTAAAGGTGGATTTTAAGGTATGTTTTGGATCATTGTCCTGTTGTTGAAGCCAGCTTTCAGCTTCAGCTTCTCGTCACATTTTCTTCCAGAGTTTGTTGATATTTAGTAATGTTCCATTCTTCCATCCCTCATGCTTAAAAATGATGGTTCTTCAAAGGTGCTTTAGTAAACAAAATGGTTCTATATAGAACCATGAACACTCAAAGAAGCCTTTGCATGATTGAATGGTTCGTTGCATCCTTAAAGGGTTCTTCAGGTTGATAGAGAGTGTTTTATAATGTTCTATATCAAACCTGTTTGAAAATGGTTCTATATAGCACCAAAAAGGGTTCCTCTATTGTTACATGCTTCAGATCCTAACAATAGAGGAACATTTTTGGTGCTATACAGAACCATTGTCTTTATTAAAGAATCCTTGAAGAACCATCTTTTTCAGAGTGTTCCTGAGCCACTGCCTGCCACAAAACCCCAAAGCATAATAGATCGTCCCTTATGCTTAACAGTTGGCACGGTGTTCTTTTCATCAAATGCTGCTCTTTTTCCCCAAACATACTTTAGCGATTGTGGATAACCATTTTTCGTCATCAGTCCACAGCACTTCTTTCTGAAATGCCTCTGGCTTCTGTAAATTATTTTGAATTTTGACCTTCGTGAAAAGATCATAGGCAAGGTTTCCTTTTGATGACTCTTCCATACATATTGTGGTCGTGCAAGCTAAACCTTCCTGCAGGCCTTTGCTGTCATGTGGGGGTTTTGCTTTGCCTTTCTGGCAGCACACGAGCATCAAACGTTGTATGAAGACCAAGAAAACTCTCAGTTCCATGTCAAAGTTTTCTTGGTCTTTCAGATCTTGCCTTGACTTCCACAGTTCCCCTTAACTGCTATGTCTTAATGACTTTTATTTAATCAATAGTCTATGTGTAATATTTTTAAAATATCTTTATAGTGTAAAGATTATTTGCTTTTCTATGTATAAAGTTTATATTGTTAACTCCTCACCATCCCATGTATAACATAAATCAGTACCTCATGTGCAAAACTCTATGTGAAAATCGGGTAAAATATCCTTACAGTGTAAATATTTTTGCTTTTATTTACATATAATTCTTTATATTGTTAATTTCTGTGAAGGATAGAGTTTATATTTTTTAATCTTATCTTTTCTTACTGTAAGTAATATGTATTTTGTCTATAAAGTAACAAGTAACAAACTTTAAAAACCCAGATTAATTACTTGTTTGTTGATTCTCTTCTTATTACTTCTTTTCTTGAGTGTCTTGCTCTCCCTTTGCTGCTGTAGCACTGTGAATTTCCCTGTTGTGGAACTAATAAAGAATTATCTTATCTTATCTTTTGCGACAGTGGAAACTGTAAGCTGGATACACTTTAATATCTTTCCCTGCTTTGTAGCTTCATTTTCAGATTGTCAGCCAGTTTTGAAGAGTCAGAGAATTTATTACACACTGGAACTGTCATAAATTGACAGTTCCTAGTGATAATTCTTGACTTGCCTGACCAGTCCTAATGAGTCAGTTAAGGCCTAATGAGTTAATCAACTTATGAGACTTTATAACTGAAAGGGTGTCCAAGCTTTTGCACATGGCACAAACGCTAATATAGTTTTTTTTTCTCTTTTTTAAATCAATCAAATATCAAGTAACTCTACTTTAAATTTTTCAGGAAAATGATATGATTACAAATAGTAGCTGCAGAGTTTATATTTACTCCTTTTCACTTGAGAAGGTGTGCCCAAACATTTGCATTACACACCGAACCACTCTGCATGACTCTTTAAACCTCAACCATTTAATTATGCAGAATTTTCTTTAATGGTTTAATAGATTTTTTTTCTGAATTTTGGTGTTTGGCTTTTCTTGTTACCACAGTATCCCAGTGTGAATGAATTCTGTTATGAATGTGAAAGATATGGGGCTTCATACCTGCATTCATAATGGAGATCTCCTCGTAGCGCTGCTCTGAACAAGAACACACCTTCCTGCAATACAGACACAAACAGGGAATCAACAACATTTCACTGTTCATTTGAAGACCAGAGCTTTTACGTTCATTGAATCTCTTGACCAGAACATAAACGAAACAAATAAGCCTGTAAAATTAACAGTTTTACAAAAACTAACTGAGTTTACTCAAATCACTGCTATGGTTACACGGTAAACAAACACACCCCAAGGCCAAATCCTCTGAAATACGAGATCGTTTAGCAGACGAAATATGGATAATGCTACAGACATGCTACAAGCAAGCTGACACTCCTGAGCACTGAAGCTACTCAGAGGCTGTGATAACGTCAAGTCGTGGCTCGACTCTGACGATAGTATCGTATTTTTGTACTGTGATTATATAATGAGATCCAGCACTGCTGCGATGTGGTATCATGATAATACCGTATCATGGCTCAGGTATCTTGGTAATATTGTATTGTGATAATCATGATATCATCATATTGTCATAATATTGTGTCATGGCTAAAGCATCCTGATGATACTGTATCGTGATCAGAGGGGAACGGTCAGGGCCCTCCCCGCCCCCAGAGAGGGCCTGAGATATTCTAAAGGTTCTGGTTTTATCTGATCTGATTTTGTTAATCAACAAAATCAACTATTCAGTTTGTACTGGACTGCGAAGGGTTAAATTAGAGAAGCCCCTCTGTCTCCCCCTATCGGAACTGTGCCGTATCTGCTGTTGCTGGAAGGAATGATGGTGATTGGTGGTCCAGCTATAAATTTGCAGAGGGCCAAGCAGTAGTAATTCAACAAGAGACCAATTTCAAAGGACAGTAAAGTTGACCAATCATATCTTCCTCTACAGGGGTGGGCTTTGTTATCGCTAACTGTATGACAGGTTCCATCCGCTGTGGAGACTCAAAAAAGCTAGCTAGCTTGTTGGTTCATGCCGGAAGCCGAGTGGACTCCAGCAATTACACCACGAGACCCCTGGGTGACAGTATTGACCGATGAGCAGTACTGCTGCTGGGACGGCTTGCTGTGTGGTGTGCTGAGAGGGGTCTCGGGCCAGAGATGGATTCTGTGATTTAGGAAGTTTATCCAAGTCAGCCCATCACCATCAGAACGCTTCAGAAGGAATTGGTGATTCGTTTAAAAGCAAAGGATCAGTCGCATGACCGCGCCACCCAGAAGGACAGGGGGATGGACTTATGCTATGACTTTGTTCATAAGCGATGCCCTAATCAGAGGGTGGGTTATTTAAAGTCTTACAGGCTGCTGTGCCCCCTGAGTTTACTCTGCCCCCGCTGACAGCGTGTGTGTGATGTGAAGGTTTATTTGGAAAAACGGCCTTTATGCAGAATTAGTGGTCATTTTCCAGGCTGATGTGTCTGATGCTCATGTCTGCTTGGCTGTGCGCTGTCGTGATGTGAAGGCTTGTGTGAAATGTTGTTGGCTGTGTGGTAGGAGGGGTTTTACCTGCTTTGTAAGCAGGATTTGCATTTTGCCCAAAAAATTGTGACCCTCTCGGTGCAACCTGCCCGCTGCATTTCTAGGGCTGAACTATCGTCTTAATCTTTCAGATGTGTGTGTGTGGGGGGATAATTGTGATATCATATCATGCTAATCATGATAATATCATATTGTGATAATATCGTATTATGATAATATCGCATCATGATATCATATTGTGATAATCATGATAATATCATATTGTGATAATCATGATATCATATCAAGATAATTGTGATAATATCATATTGTGATAATATCGTATTATGATAATATTGCATCATGATAAATATTGCATCATGATATCATATTGTGATAATCGTGATATCATATCAAGACAATTGTGATATCGTATTGTGATAATATCGCATCATGATATCATATTGTGATAATCATGATAATATCATATTGTGATAATCGTGATAATATCATATTGTGATAATTGTGATATCATATCAAGATAATTGTGATATCATCATATTGTGATAATATCGTATTGTGATAATATTGTATCATGGCACAAATATTGTGATAACACCATATTTTGGCTCAAGTACGGTGATGATATCATATCATCATGGTTCGTGTATCATGATAATACTGCCACCCCTACAAGGCACATAGCAATATATGGCAATATCGCAATCCTGTTATCCTGTCCACATCGTGCAGCTCTAGAAACACCACAGTATTGCGTTTCCAGATGCTGAAAGAATCCTGTCATGACCGACGGCACGGCGACAACACGGCACCTCATAGCTCATATGATCAAAGCGTACAGGCCGACATGTGAGCTGCTCTTTATAAACGCGACTGACGGCGCTGAGGAGGTATTCAGTACCAGGATGAAGCTGTAATGTGGAGCTAAGATGGGGAACCCAGACACAGCATAGCAGACCAGAACGTTCCGCCATGGCGTCAGCGCCGTGTGTGTGTGTGTGTGTAAGTGTGTGTGTGTGTGTGTGTGTGTGTAAGTGTGTGTGTGTGTGTGTGTGTGTGTGTGTGTGTGTAAGTGTGTGTGTGTGTGTGTATGTATGGTGTGAGACACAGTGATAGCCTGGCTGACACCAGCCGGTCTACACTCTGAAATAAACTGCATGTGTCTGGTATGTGTGAATTTTATAACCATCACCTACCGACACACTCACACACACACACACACACTCACACACACTCACACACACACACACACACTCACACACACTCACACACACTCACACACACACACACACACACACACACACTCACACACACACACTCACACACACTCACACACACTCACACACACACACACACACACACACACACACTCACACACACACTCACACACACTCACACACTTACACAAACACACACACACACACACAAACATAATGAACGAACTCAATGTTTTGAACTACTGCCCTGATTCTGCTCTAAAGTTAATTTAAATGCAGAATAACAGTTCATTAATAACTCATTAATAACTGACTAAGATCCACAGCGATCAAATGCATTAAGATTAGATCAATTATAGCCTAAAAGTAAAACAGTGATTTTAAAACTGACACCAAGAATCAACAAGTCACATGTGGCTATCAGACTGGGCCTTCAGTTTATCTCTCTACAACAATGCTAATTTCTGCTAGCGCCCCTATGGGATTCTAGTAGCATGGTAGCGCTAAGCTAACAGCAAGTCACATGAACATATTTTGGCCGTTCATGATGAAGTGCGGACATCTGGAGCTTGTAAACGACGTTAAATGTTCTATGTGAAGCTTTAAAACAGCCACAAGCAGTTCAGCACAGGGTGCTAGCATAGAGCTGCTGCCGCTGTTTTCCTTTTCTAACCGTTTACTCTAGCACTACCACTAGAATTCACAATCAGGGATGTATCTAGAACCACCAGAAGGACTAGAGTGACATTTCTTCTCATGAAATGTGTCCCATTGTAAATCAGAACGTCACTGGTTGGTTCCACTGTCCGTTCCTTGTTATGTTAGTGGATAATCTGATACATTAGGCCTTCTTTCCCAGCTCCTGAAGTCCCAACCAATGAGAGAGCTCGCTTGGCTGTATCTACTGAGATACCACAGAGAAAGCAATCCTGATTGGATCACTTTCTGCAGGGCATTTCAAACTAAACTTCGCAATGGAATTAGACTGTTTTTACAGTAGTTGCAGAGTTTAAATACGACAAATGTGCTGATTCTCTTATATAAAAAATAAATAAATAAATAAAAAAATTACAAAAAGTGAAACTTTTTTTTATTTCACAGATATTAAATCTTCTACAAGACCCTGAGGGTTCCACACTTATTATTACATAGTAAAAAATAATGAATATGCAAGAATTTGACGACATAAAAAGTAGTGAAAATACGACACAGTGTATAGCTTCGTGCTAAGTGACTTTTGTCCTTGCAAATTAATCTATGGTGTTAGCCTGATGCTAGCTCTTATTAGCATAATGCTAGCTGGTACCTATTAGCGTGATCCTTTATCATCCTGTGTGATTGTCTTTAAGTAATGACTCCCTGAAGGTTCTCCACTATGAATCATCTTGTCTCCCACTGTTTGGAGTGATTTTGGATCAGAGTAATCAATATATGTAAATAATAAAGCAGTTATGTTTATATTCACAGCCTCAGAGACGGTGAGACGTGTCCGCCTGTGTCTCTAATGGGGTTCAGGTGGGTGTGGAGGACATAAGCAGTGCAGTCGATCAGCTCTCTGCTCTCAGCAGTTTGTTAAATATGACCCCAGGGGTCGTACTGTATGCACAAATGCTGGACATACTGCTGATCAAGGGTCATTTTTTGCCTTCCATTTCCAAACATATGGAATTAAACAGAGGACATCAGCAGTCTTACTCCATGCACATGGACCCTGAGGGTATTCAGGCTTTACACCGGTGGTCCACAAGTTTGTGCATGTGGGCATTTTTTAAATCAGGATTTCTCGGAATATTTAATCTACAGCTCAAAGAATATAATATTCCTGAACATTTAAACCAAAACTCAACAAATATTGAAATATTCCCATATATTTCAGTCAACACCTAAGGAATACTGTAATATACCTGACCGTTTCAGCAAAAATCCAGAGAATACTGCAAAATTCCTGAACATTTCAGCTAAAACTCAAACAGCACTGTAAACGTCCTGAAAACTTCACAACCACAGCTCATAGAATAATATTCATTACAAACATTCCAACCAAAACTCAAAAAATATTAAAATCTTCCCAAATATTTCAGCCAACACAGAATTACAACTATAGCTCAAAGAATATAGTGATATTCCTGAACATTTCAACCAAAATACGAAGAATACTGTATAATTCCTAAACATTTAAATCAAAATCAGAATAATACTGTTAAATTCCTAAACATTTCCACTAAAGATTCCCCAAACAATATTGTACAGTTCCTGAACATTTAATCCAAAATTGGAAGAATACTGTAAAATTCCTCCACACTTTAAACAAACCCCAAAGAACATTGTAATATTATTGAATGTTTCAACGCAAAATCGGAAGA